ATTTGCGCATGGATGTCATACCAGTGTAGTATCAAGAATAATTTAGTTAGAAATCTGCACACGTCAACACAATATTAACACTAACATGGTCACAGCCAACGCCTAGCTAACAAGTACCACATAGTTGGGACCACCATCACGCTCAATTTAAGCTAGTAAAGGTGGTAGGAATCGACAAGCTGAGTAAAAACTAAACATCGTATGCCCACCAAGCAGAACTTACCGATATTAAACATCTCTATTAACGCATTAAGCCCAAACTGTACTGCGACACAGGGGCAAACTAAACAGGCAAATGGACTCCACTCAGGGGCAAACTAAACAGGCAAATGGACTCCACTTATAGTCAATCGAGTGCCCTCCCCAAGGTCAGCTTTCAATGCTCATCATACTACTGTAAGCCTATCTACTCCATAGTCGAATGTGGCTACCACCATGTATTCTACAGGTAGTACATGTAGTAATGACTCCTGCTCTATTAAGGGTTAAGGGTTCACACTAGGGCGGCAAACATGTGAGCTTACTGTACTTCCACAGCACAGTCCTACACTATGTAGGTGTCCCCAGTTTGAATTGGTTGCCACAAATCTTGTACTATAACAGTTAAATACCATTGTAGAGCAAGGTGCATCGTTAGTGTGTCGGTTTGATTCCAAGATGCAGACGGCATAGTCCGCGTTTCGAGCCTAGCTTCGACCATTTCTTTTTGCCATGATTATACTCGGGTTGTTTTTGTGACCCTCCTAATTTTGATTTGTTTGTATAAAACAGTTTTATACCTATAAAAATTGAATTCGAAAGGTATTAACCACTTGGCTGTTTAGGGTATTTACAATCGACCTATGATCCGGTTAATGGCATGAAACATACTTCGAAGTACATTTTTACCTTGATTTGGTACGATAAACATCGTCGAATTTGGCCGAACGTCCTGCGGAATATACGGAAGATGTGGGGTTGCGAGGTATACGGATGGTGAAGTACAAGTGCAACGATGCCAAGCTCATGTTTGACCCCTACGGATGCGAAGGCTGATGGACGAAGAAGATCCCGACATTGCCATTCAGTTGGCGTCAAAACGCCTCACCAACTGTTTTTGTTACTCGCAAGCTAGGCGGCAATCCAAATGAGTTGTTGCTGCCATTTTTGTATCGTGATGACGAGTCGGACGCCTTCGACGATGGCGAGCAGTCTTCCGGTGACGATGATGACGTGGACGGCGACGACAGCGAACAGACCGAGCTAATACCCCCTGTAAAGCGCTCTATTTCCGCAGTGTCTGATGACGCCGACTTAGAAGCACCCACACCAAAGCGTCCAGTACCATTGAATGATGATGTCATAGTTGGATGACGCTTGACCAGAATGGCAAAACAATTGCTTTAATAGGAGTAACACATTTGCTTTTTACGAAGTTGTAAACTCTTTCGAGTATATTTTACCACTCTGGTCCAAAATAGTTGTCATGTTAGACTTCAAAATGAAGTATTTTGTCCTAAACTTACTCGTTCTCGTATGATAAGTTATCGAACTTGAAAAATGGCCTTCAAATTGGCAAAATATTCAATCACCCGCCAGAGAATCAAATCTTAACTTTAAACCTCCCCATCTCGCCCACTTGTTCATCTGGTTGCTGTAATGCCCTTGAAGCACTTCCAAGGCTTTCTCGCTTCTATGATGTTGTATTTATGATCAAACATGCTCAAAAGACACCATACGCCATACGTGACCGTACAGTAGCACCTTCGGTAGACGGCTGTCGACGACGAAATCGCACCTGAGGCTAAACGATGCCTAGTTTAGCCATTTGAACAAGCTACGGCACTGTATTCCGCGAACGGCGGCCTTTACCTTCCGATTTACTTGTTGTGGTTGATGTCGCTTGAATATTTTAAGTATAAATATGCTTTAATCATATTGAGGTTTGTATAGAATATACTAAACATGTATACAAGTGGCTAAGTGATTTGTATTTAGTATACACATTACAAGTCAAATAAAACTGCACCTTCGAAAATATGCAACAGGACAGCTATTTTGGACCAGAGTACAGTACAGTAGTATACTTTTTGTACAACTGTTATACTGTATGTTGACTAATTGAGTTTGGATTATTATTTTTAAGACATTCCTCCGCGAGGGCCGATACTAGAACCACATGTTATGGAACAGCTTCACCAATTGTAAAGTGCCGCCCGACCAGGGGCGGTGTGTAATCTTCGGTTTTTTCTTGTGCTTCGACCGAGCTTCTTCGAAGTCCGGTCCTCGTCTTCGTACGCAGCCCTTGTTATCCGGATTCCCCAGGGGAGGGACAGATAAATCCGGGGAAACCGGGGATCGAACCCTCGACCTTTGAGTTAAGAAACCGATGCTCTTCCACTGAGCTATTTTCCCTCGCCCACAACTGTTATATGTTGAACTACTTCTGCAATGGTGAAAGTTCTACGTGTCCAAGAATAAGTTGACTTGTTTGTGAAATTCGTAAGGTGGCTGATTATTCACCAATCAGAGTGCATCATGGTTTCTTTGCCATATCATTGGTCAAGACGATCATTACGATCATTTTTATCGACTTCAAAAATGCAGAAGTACCAAGTTCTCAGCGACTCAAACAACTCGTGCTACCATCAGCTTAATGCTCATGTCAGCAGTTCATCGCACTCTCGAGTACACCAACTAGCATTTTGCCTTAGTGCTTATTGAAGTCGACATTGAATGACGAATGGTCGATGCGAATTTCTCGTTAGGAAGGACCAGCAGTATCACTACAACTTCATGGTTTCGGTGGACTGGGGCCAACACCCAAGGTCCTTCCAAGTCAAAATGAGGAAGTGATGGGTAAAACTACAGTCAGTAAGAATCATATTATCGGGGCATAGTCACCAAAAATTTGACCAAATCAAGTCGTTTGCCCGCGACGTTTCAGGGTTTCAGGATCAACGAGTAAATTGCTGTAAACGACCTATTTACAGTACCAGTAGTTGACGAGCTTGGCCCATGTGATTACTTGGTTTATTCCAAGATGCAAAACTAGTAAGACGACCAAGGTCGGGGGCATGTGCGACGGCACCCGAGCCCAGCACTTCCACCAGAACGCCCACTACGCTAAGAACAACCACTACCTATGCTGCGACAAGACGAGGACCAAGTGGTACTGCATGACCATCGCCCAGGCTCAAGCGTGCGGACAGGAGCAAGGGATCGCATTCTAGTACTGTAGATCACAATTCAAAAGCTGCAGCCTACAGCTAGCAATGTAGCAAAGAGAATAGAACGATGCTATTGACCAGTTATTTTCACTATTCTATCATGTAATTGGACAGAAATTTGGCAAGGCAGTCTGCCTTACGAATTCATCAATAAGATGCGTTTAAAGGAATTTAAATTACTCCATACAAAGATGAAGCTTCATTCAATAAATTTGAACTATTTCAGATCGATTTATGGAATTCGTAAGGCATCCTTGCGAGCCTACTAAAACCTACTGTTTCACCTTACGAATTCTGTATTATGTGTAATGTCTAGCTATTGTATAATATTCACAACACTATATATTTTAACAGTTATAGAAATACTAATTATAGTTGTGTAATGTCTAGCTACAGTTTATTGGACCCTTTACGAATGCAATACGAATCCCTTTATAATCCGATTTTGTGTTATATTGGTTTTAGACGGGCTATCCATTTCACTCTCGGCAAACCAGCCACACGCACGACCGCCCTGACCAGCCATACGCACGACCGCCCTGGACAAGTCCGTTGTACAGCACGCCATCTGCAAGGTGCAACGTCACTTTAGTCATTCAATCGTGCAATAAGCGAGCTATGTATACTGCAGTCGATCCATACAAGACACAACTCAAGGTGCACAAGTGCCCAAGCGTCAATGACCAAGACATGACGTTCCCCGTCAAGATGGCACTCACGACCGCGACCGGACTTTTCCAAGGTACAGCGGCGGCAACCGTGGCCGAGAACGGACCATTCACGGACGTGGTGGCGGCTGCCATTCCCGTGACCGGGCCATTTGAGTGCACGGTGGCGGCTGTTCGTGACCGGACCATTGTTGAGGTTAGCTGAGTCAAAAGGCAATGGTAAACACACGTATAAACCTTTATTATGGAGCTGTGATGTTGTGCTTCTTTATTAAATCGTACACTGTGTGGTAGGATATGTCTCTTTGTAGGGGAAACTCCAGTGGCTGCTGAAATTGCTGTCCAGATGCTTCTCATTCCTGTCAGGTACACCTTGCTTCGCTGGGCCACCGTCATGTTGATTGCAAATTGCCGAGTTGTCGTTGTGATGTTCAAAATTAAATTAATCACTGCTGTGGCTTTGGAAAAGTTGACCCTGTCGCTGTTTCTGGGGAAATCTTTTCGCCTCAAGGTGCGAAATGGAGGAGTATTGTGGGCTTCGCTTTCACTCCACCACAGAGTCCACAAATCGAACGTTTTGGTGCTGGGGCATACCAAATTGTTTGTCCTTTGGACTTGAACGTGTTGGTTGGGTCGTTCATCATGTCGAACTTCGGGAGTGATCGTAGACTCGACCAGGGGTGTACTTGAAGACGCCGACTTCAAATCCGCCAACAGTTCATGCCGAAGGAGCTCAAACGAAGCGTGCATCATCCCAATTGTTACTGGGGTTGAGTCACTTGTTGGGGCCCGACCGCTGATCGCCATCGCCACACTTTCAGGAATATTGTCGATTTTGTCAAACATGTTATTTTCAAGTGTTTTAAACCCAGTTTCTAATTGGTCCAGACGGTCAACCAGGGTTACGTGTGGTGGCACACCAGTCGCAACCATTCCAGTAGCACGATTGACCATGACGCCACCATGAACTCGTTTGGACAGGCCAATTAAAAAACCAGAGCGCCAAATTGGGGACAGAAAGAGAGGGTGGTCAGGACTCAATGCCATTTTCAACCAGCTGTGGTGGAATGCCAGTGACGCCAATAGGTATGGCAGCACACATCGGAAGCATGCTGGATAATCCGTGGAGTACCCAGGCACTACCGTCTCCCATTCACCAAGTGACAGAGCAGGTGCTCCAAAAAATATGCGGTGGCAACGACGCAAATGTGTTTGATGTCAATGGCAAACCTATAACTCATGAAAAAATCGAAGTCATAATTTATAGTCCAAAGTTTGAATAATTTGTCCTATACCTGTCGCAGCACGTCCAACAAATTGGTCGCCACCAGAGCCTTCAAAAATGTACCACCCTTGCACACTTCCAAGGCTCCATCCCGCACGAAGCCAAATCGAGACTACCTGTGGCCCACCCGGTGAGTTGGACAGTGCTGTCGCAACACCTTTTCGGAACGAATGGGTGCCAATCTCGGAAATGGCCATCCCCATTGCCAGTATTTCTGCTTCGTTCACAGAACAGACTTTAAGCAGCCACCTCGAAAATCGGGTTTGGGCCGTTGCTCCAAAGACCAATTTCGTTCGCTGGCCAGTCGTTAAACTTCTCGTAAACACAATCATCGCAAGGCTAAATTCAGAGGTTGCACATTTAATATCACGTAAATCCAAATTAAATCATGGAACAGACCTCAGAATTGGGCACACTGCCGGACTCGTGGGATTTGCGTAAACATGCTTGGGAAGCAGAGCAGCGCCTTCTTGGTCACTTATTGTCCGGCCGAATTTGATCAACATTGCATCCCCTAATTTTAATCGGTTTACATATGAATTTACACTAATATAAACCTACCCTGCCACGTGATGTTGTCGAAACGAATTGACGCTGTTGAAACTGAACGCGCCATCAAATTCCAACAAAACACGAGAAACGTATGAGTGTTGATTGCCAGATTGTAGTCCGTTGTCGACGACAACGCAACGTTTGCCAAATAGGAGTAACCTAAAATATAATATCGAAAATAATTATTAAGGAAAAAAAATTCCACAGCATAAAACTAATTTACCGTCCACAGACATCGGTAATTTGCCTTCACCGATGGGCATGACACCATCCTCCTTCAGTTGTGCTATGTGCCGTTTGTACCCGTTTGCAAAGTCTACAAAAATTTAGGCCCATTTAAATCGATTAATTTTCATTTTCCTCAAGACTTAAAACAAACCTTTCAGTCGCGATTCCAGATCTTCGTCCATGGTGACGTTCGCCTCCTTGTACAGGAATTTCAGCGCACTCTTGGAGGTCCCGATGGTGGAGAAGGTGTTGTATTGCTTGGGCACAAGCGCCTCGCCACGTGTATTGCGCTTGATTGATGCGTAGTCTAAATACATTTGGCAGATATTGCTGGGCAATGGTAGCTGGATCGTGGTGTCAACCACGAATGACGGGTACTCTGTGTGCAGCCAACGCTTAAACCTTTCCAGGATAGCGAGGTATTGGGCCCTTGTGTCATCTACAAGACGCATAGCGACCACTCGATCCCCTGCAACTTCTACATCACCATCTGTGTGCTTCCGCTTTGTCCTGCCCATTGCTGATCGCAAAATGGATCTTTCAACATTCCGGATATCCAAGGCAGCTACATAATTCGTGAGGATTCGTAAAAGGGTACTATTTTGTGGATACAATTTTTATATTACGAAAGACAAGACTAAGTCAGAAATAGATCCATGATATTTGCCTTGTACGAATCCTGGAAATTCGTGACGCAACATATAACCGGACAAAAAAGTTCGTGATCGGTCTCACACCATTCGTAAAAGGGTACTATTCTATATTATTTATACCTACCTATATATATGTTTTAAAAATTATAGAAATTCTAGTTATATTTGAGTTTTGTAAAAAAATAAGTAGTTCACTATTCAAAAGTATTGACCAGCAACTGGAAAGAAATTTCCGCCAACATGAATGATTGCGACATAAAGCTAATCAAAAGAGCTCACATTCCACTTCATTTGCACACTTTGCATCCCGTTGTCAATGCGCGTCACTTCCATCATCGAATACCTGCAAAAGCAGCATGCTGTGGACCAAATTAACATCGCCGAATGCCTCCTCACGCATGGGGACACCATCGACGCCATCCTGGAAGAGTCTGGATGTGATGGTTTTAAAACCTTGTGCAACTTCACCAGTGCCGAGTTCGGGATCCTTTACGGGACAGTTCAGAATGTCCTGACTACGTGCTAGACTGCTTGTTGTCACCAACCAGTCCGAAGGATGCGTTTTTTATGACGTTAACGGTCCTAAAGCACTATCAGACGTGGGAGATGCAAGCAACGCACTTCAAGTTCAAGGCCCCCACGTTCCAAAAGCTCATCACCTTGGTGATCGCAGTCATCGAATCCATCTTTTTCCGTCACTTCGTAAAGATGCCAAGCATGACTGACCTGCGCAACAAGGATGCCGTCTTGCCAACTACCCCTGTGCCCTCTACCCAACGGATGTGAATTTCTAACCAGCTGAGCGTCCGAAGGGCCGCTTTAACGAATAGCGCCACTACTTCAGTGGCAAGCACAAGTTGTACGGGTTGAAGGTCGAAGCGTCGGTGTCAACCGAGATCCTCTGCGTGGACATGAGTGCCCATCTCCCAGGGTTGATGAAAGACCTGACCATGTTGATGGACCGTTTCACCGTCCACCGCATGAGCTTGGCCAATGTGGAGACTGAGATGGCCATAAACGACGTCGGGGAAACCTTCGACGACCAAATCGGCTACTCGACTGGCTTGGTCACCAAGGGCTACGTTGGCATCATGCATCATACTCGGAGAATCCATTCAAAGAAGAAGCCTACCGGTGGGGCGTTGGACACCGACGACGTCAACAGAAGCAAGCGCGTGTCCTCGGACAAAGTCGTGGTAGTATGAGAACTGCTTTGATCGCGTGTGTCAGCTATGGAAGGTGTCGTATGCAACGTTTACCTGGAACCACATCTTCGACGGGTTCCTGCGGTTGACCTTTACGCTGACCAAGCATCAGGTAACCTTGATGCCCCTTCGTTCAAACGACGGCGCCACGTACCGCTCAGTCCTGGCTTGTTACCAAGCCATGTCCAAGACGTACAGTACATCGACAGGCGCAATGAAACTCAACGGCGCTTCCCGTCGCCATCGTGCGGAACGAGTCCTCAAGGGGAGTGCGATTCGACGCCGCATGTCTTCGCTGAATGATTCACCATACATTCGCCGGCTTCCATCGCAGAACAACTCTCCATCCTTGCGTTAGGTACCTCGTATGAGTCGGATGCATTTAAATGTGAATTTAAAAATAATAATAATAACCGCTTTTGACTTGCACATAAAATATTTAAATTAATACTGTACTCACTGTCAAATTGTATTTTGTGCAGTTTGGTTCCACCTGCTCAGTTGTTTCCACATTGTCCTTTGGCGGTATTGTGGAAAAGAGGTGGTTGCTGATCAGGTCAACACATCCAAATCAGCAGGGATTACGTTTTCGAAATGTGCTCTCGGCTGATTAATACGTCGCTGACCACCGGAAACCAACAAGTACTTCCAGAGATAAGACCTATCTTCCGAAAAATGTGACCAATTAATTTAGAGCCTGTTCCAAGTAGAATTGGAAAAAAACGAAAAATGGGGTGACAAAATATTTCATCCCATTTTCAACCCATTCTATGACCATGATTGATTGGACATAAATCATTAGACTAAGATGCATGCTGATTGGTCAATAACACAGTGTTGTCGGCGATGCACAGAAAGGTGTGGCGGGTGCAGCGCTGGTGGCGCGTGAACCATCCGTCGTATGTGCCGTCGGACTTGACTTGCTGCCACGTGGTACTGGGTACGACAACAGTGTTGATGCCAGGGGCGCGGTTGCTACGTTCGTCGATCGAAAGGCGGCGCCAACGACAGCAACTCACGCTGCAGTGGTCGAGTCCATCATGTCAAATTGAAAAGTTGGAATGGGATTGGGATCAATGATTGGATAGTGGGCATCCATTATTAGCCAGTCATTGGCGAAATAGCTGAGGTGCCCAAAATGGGATGAAATGGGGTCATGTACCCCATTTTGAAAAATGGATTTTGTAATGAGTTGGAGAGCGTTTTGATTGGATAATGCCCATTTTGAAAAGTACTTGGAACAGGCTCTTATTAATAGATACCTAGTACCAGTACTATAGTAGTACTAGTACGTAGTAGTTGACAAGCTTGGTTAATGCCAAGATGCAAAACTATTACTACTCTGGTCCAAAGTAGCTGTCGTGTTGCATATTTTCGAAGGTGCGGTTTTGTTTAACTTGTAATTTGTATACTTAATATAAATCATTTAGCCACTTGTATACATGTATAGACAATATGGCGGATACGACAAATCCATCCGACAATAATCTGATTGGTTGATACGATAAAAAGAAATGGAAATTTGGATTGCGATCCAAGAAGTAGAGGGGATACCCCCTCTACTTACATTGGTCCGCCAGGTTTCCCTATTGGGCATGAACCCTCACAAAATAATGGTACCGGTCATTGCAATTGGCCTCAAGTTCAATCCCCGCCAAAGCCACAATTTTAAATGTATGACTTCAAATTCAAAGTCTATTTGCATAATATTCAACCACTTCCTACGTCTAACCTCATGAAGTGCCTTTGCGTAGGAACTTGTGAACCCTTGATATGAGGCTTCGAACGGTTGGTAAGTTTGGTACTTGCTAAACGCCGTTCCCAGTGTGAGACGTTCAGAGTACTTCTTCCTGTCCATGCGAATCATTTCCTTTGTGTAGTCCTTGAGAGCACACACAAGGCCAATGGCGGGGTCTGCGACGAACCATTGCTGCCATGCCTTCAGTGCCGACCGCGCCGTAGGTACTGACTTCTGAGCCACAAACTGATCCATCGAGCTCTGTCGCATAGTCGTCGTTGTCCTAAGGCTGCCGAGTGCACCTTGGCTGTGCAAGTTCTTGGCCAGCGCTTGGCCAATATCGTCAACAGAGAACCCCAAACCGACCGGCACTGCAACACTGCCGGTCTGCCATTGTATGTGGTTGGCATCGCTTCCGGTACGAAGCAGATTCCTTGGGTCGATCTGATACGGTACTCACAGCATGTCTTAGCATCCGCATATGGTATACGGTACTCACAGCATGTCTTAGCATCCGCACCAAGCCATCAACTCGCGGAAGTTCAAGCGTCGCTCCTTAGACTCGAAGACGCGAAAAAACGTGCCGCCTCGACGAAGGCTGTGCAGAGAAGTGCCGATCGGAAGGCTCGGGGTACGCTGGACGACGTCGACGAGAATTCGACGCAGGTTGGCTTGATTGAGGCCCCGGTTCTAATCCACTCTTGGTACTCCATACTGCTGGTCCACAAAGTTGGGAAACACAAAGGTGCTGCTGCTGATGTTGACGCCGGCACTTCTCACCTTCGCAATGTACTCGTCATAGAATCCACAGACCCGCAAGCATGGAAAGGTCGTCTCGTCCACGAGATGGTATACTTGGCAGTCCTCTTCCACATTCGCCTTTTTGTGCCAACGGAGACGAACGGACAGGTATCGTCCTTTTGCATCGCCCACGATGTCGACATCATTCCAACGCAGAGCCAAGACTTCGCTGACACGGAAACAACAGATGAAGGCAACCGCAAGGAGTCGGAGCATATCGCCAACGAATGGGTGGAGGTGCGCCAGGGAGTTCATGAGTGTCGATAGCTCGTGCACGGAAAGTGGATGCGCCTTCTTCTCTTCGTCCACATTGTGTTGCTTGTTGTACTTCTGTAAACCAACGATGTAGCGGCGGGTAGCTGCGTCTTGGGCTGGGTTCGGTGTTACCCCCATTGCAGCAAAGTATGCGACAAGAGCCGACTTGGCCAAGTCTATGGTGCATGATTTACGTCCTTGTGTGTACATGTGGTGGAAGAAGTCTGTGCACTCCTCCGTGCCTGCCTCTCGAGGACCAGCTCCGCTTTTGATCGATTGAAGAAACGCAACGAACTGATTCTGATACGTTTCGTAGGCACGCCTCGTTGACGCCCCGTGAAACGAATCTTGGATGGTCTTCTTTGACGCCACCGTGGTCGGCTTGGTCTGCTTATTCGCCTTGGTCGCTTTGGTCGGCTTGGCTGGCTAGCTCGGCGCCATTTTGGAAAGTGGTGGTCGTTATAAAACTGCTCTCTTTGTGATTTCAACCAATGAAACCATGTTATTCTCAATGTTCTCTGATATGTGAGTGAACGACATCGGGATCGACCAATCCAATGCTTCAATTATACATTGTCCAATCATCTTTCAAGTTCATGTCGTTTCACCAATAACCACTTGAGAATTTGTCGTTTACATGTCGGATGCCACCTACATGTCTCAATATTATTGAAACATATTTTTACTGAAGCATATCAAGTGACATCAACCACAACAAGCAACTCGGAAGGTAAAGGCATGCCCTCACCGACATTCGCGGAGTATAGTGTCGTAGCTTGTTCGAAAGGCTAGAACTAGGCCTCGTAAACTCAGGTGCGATTTCGTCGTCTACAGACGCCTACCGAAGGTGCTACTGTACGTTTGGTAACTTTTGAGCATGTTTGATCATAAATACAACATCATAGAAGCGAGAGAGCCTTGGAAGTGCTTCAAGGGCATTACAGCAACCAGATGAAAAAAGTGGGCTAAATGGGGGGGTTAAAGTGAACGTTAAGATTTGATTCTATGACGGGTGATTGAATATTTTGACAAATTTGAAGGCATTTTTCAACTTCGCCAAGTGTGAATTTAAAGTACCCAATCAAAGAGGAGATCTTCAGCTTGGATTTACAGTTACATCAAGTTTTGGACAAAATACTTCATATGAAGTATTTTGTAACATGACAGCTATTTTGGACGAGAGTGTTAATAGCAGGGTATCACGACTTTTTACACTGGGGGACTGCCAAAACGAGAACACCCTTTTTATATTATTCTCATCCGGATAAGCCCCCATGTTTAATCATGATGACAAGCTGCGTCGCGCACTTGGAGGACCGACAATCTTGCATCCAACGAGCTTCAGTCGACAAACAAAACTGCAAAACAAAGTAGAAATGCAGCATAAATGAGAGCGACCCGTAGCAAATTGGTGAGACGGTTTTGACCTCTCCGCAATTTGCAACCTGTATTATAAATCGAGAAATGTCTCATTTGCGAGCGATAGCAAAATACAGCTGTAGTACACTGTATGCGGAGGTTTTGACGTACCGTAGTGGTGGACGTCCTCCATGGTCGCTGCACTTCCTTTTCCATACTGAGTATGGTAAGTCCATGGCACAACATTCTCCGTCCACCATCTTCGTTGCGGTCCACCGCCTTCCACCCGCCGAGTGCGAGATGGCGGGTGGTGGAGTGCAGGGTGCACTCCACCGTTTGCAATCGTATATGACGGATGGACCAGCGGCTCGACTCACTACGTCGCTATGTTCGCTACAGTCAACGAAGGAATGGTACGCCATCGAATTTCAAAAATTGACAACTGTATATTTGACCAATAATATTCAAACACAAAAATAAAGCCTTCTGATTGGCCGTATTATTATTCTCCCGCCCGCGCGATATTTTTTTGATTTGCATGATCACTCGCCTCTCATTTCGAACAACATGAACTCGACGCTTCGAAAGTCAAAGCGCTGTTACAGTGTGGCAGTCAAGCTTGATATGCTTGGACGATTGGAGACTCAGACCGACAGCCAGGTTGCCAAAGCCACGGGTATATCTCGACGCACTATACGAGGATGGAAAGATCAACGCGACGAAATCCTGGCTTACACTGGAAACAAAAAACGCATGAAAATAAGCCCCGGTGGACGTTGCGAGATATTCCCCGACCCTGATGGACTCCTCGAGTTCATTACGGAAATGCGAAACAAAGAGCGAGCCCTGACAACGACTCATATCATCAATTGGATTAAACGTCACCAAGCGCAATGGCTACGACTCTATCTCAGTGGCAAGCAGCCCGGCACCGGCTACAATAGCCTCCTTCGCCTTCTGCAGTACTTTTGTAATCGCAAGGGCTTTACTCGGCAAAAGTCCAGCAAAAAGAAACGCACGAAGACTGTCTTGATCGAGGTTCGAGACGAGTTTGCAAGGGAGTTCCATAACTCGTACCGAGCCTTCGACGCGTCTGCCATCTACAACGTGGACGAAACTGGCTTCTACTACGACATGCCACC